TTCAAGATCAGATTCGGATTCTGCCCCAGCTGATGGATACGTTGGAGCATTGCACAAATCTCTTCCGACGTCAAAGGAGTCTTCTGATTCGCTTGCAGGGCTTTGGCTTCCGCATTCCATGTGAGGTAATGCCACTTGTTGTCCTCGGTCAAAATGCCCTTTGTTTTCAGCCCCATGACCAACGGATCGTCCTTCTTTGTCAGCTGGAGTTTGCTGGCGCGGTTGATCAGCTCTTGAAAGATCGTCAAAAATCTCCCGCAGGTCATAGGGAAAATGGCATTATGATGAATGGTATCAAGATCCCAAACAATATTATTATAGGTCAAGGATAAATATCCATTAATAATATTATTTGCATTATCATAAGTACTTCCATTATTAGGAACATCAATATTAGCATTGTATATTCCCAATACCATTAACATTAACATTAATATCAAGATCCTAGAGGGAATGATATTATCGTTTCCATTGATATGGTGCATAACATCAAATTCCCCCGAATGATATCCCATTATCATGGCCATTAGCATTTCTATTGCCATTAACATCATCACATATCAAGGGTAATTAATTATGATTAGCATCCTTAATATTATTATTTCAATTGGTAATTCCATTTGCAATTCCAATATTACAGCTCAAGGATAAATGGAATCAAATTGCCACAGATTACAATATACATATAGGTGCATAGTCCCTACAGATCAAAGGGAGAATGGCATGAAGCTTCTACAACTCACCCGTACAGGTCAAAGGGTGAATTGAATTAGTATTGCAATTATCATTAGCATTGTCATTGCTACAGGTCAGAGGATAATTAGCATCAAGGTCCCCCAATTCTCCGGATGAATGGCATTATTATCATCATTGCATTTGCATTGTCATCATCACTTGCATTATCATTGCCGCAGGAATTGGCATTGCCATTGTAATCCCTATTGCTACAAATCGAGGGTGAACGGCATCAAGCTCCCCCTTTCCCAGTCACAGGGTGCATATTTCATTATAATGAAGGACATCAATATTCTGTATATCATTGCCACAGATCAAGGTTGAATAATTATTAACAATATCATTAGTATTGCCATGAGCACTATTATTTCTATTAGCATCAATACCAATTTCCCGCAGATCACAGGGAAAATGGCATTATGATGAATGACATCAAGATCCCATATAATATTACCATAGGTCAAGGATAAATATCCATTAATAATATTATTTACATTGTTATAAATATTTCCATTGCTATGAGCATCAATATTAGCCTTATATATTCCCAATACCATAAATATTAGCATTAATATCAAAATCCTAGAGGGGATGATATTATCGTTTCCATTAATATGGTGCATAACATCAAATTCCCCCGAATGATATCCCATTATCATGGCCATTAGCATTTCTATTGTCATTAGCATCACCACATGTCTTAATTAGGATTAGTATCCTTTAACATTATCATTTCAATTGGCAACTCCATTTGGAGTCCCAATATCACAATTCAAGGGTAAATGGAATCAAATTGCCACAGATTACAATGTATATATAGGTATATAGTCCCTACAGATCAAAGGGAGAATGGCAAGAAGCTTCCACAACTCACCCGTATAGGTCAAAGGGTGAATTGAATTAGTATCACAATTATCATTAACATTGACATTACTACAGGTCACGGGATAATTGGCATCAAGGTCCCCCAATTCTCCGGATAAATGGCATTATTATCATCATTGCATTTGCATTGCCATCATTATTTGCACTATCATTGCCGCAGGAATTGGCATTGCCATTGTAATCCTTATTGCCACAAATCGAGGGTGAACGGCATCAAGCTCCCCCTTTCCCAGGTCACAGGATACATAATTCCCCCACAAGAAAATCATTTCATTATAACGAAAAGCATCAATATTCCATATATCATTATTACAAATCAAGATTGAATAATCATTATTAATACCATTAATATTGCCATAAACACTACTATTACTATTAGCATCAATATCAATTTCCCGCAGGTCATAATGAAAATGGCATTATAATGAATGGCATCAAGATCCCATACAATATTACCATAAATTAAGGATAAATATCCATTAATAATATTATTTCCATTATTATAAATATTTCCATTGTTATAAATATCAATATTAGCATTATATATTCCCAATATTATAAACATTAATATTAATATCAAGATCCTAAAAGAAATAATATTTTCCATTAATATGGTGAATGACATCAAATTCCCCCAATTTACAAGATAAATGGCATCCCATTATCATTAGCATAAATATTAATAATACAATTTCAATTGGTAATTCCATTTAGATTCCCAATACCGCAATTCAAGGGTAAATAGAATAAAACTACCACAGATTACAATACTTATATAAATATATATATCCCACAAATCAAAGAATAAATAATAATCCATAATCATCATTATAAATATATTCATTGCCATTAATATGCCACACATCAAAAAATAAATTATTATTATTACCACCGTTATTAACATCAATAGTATTATAAATATTAAAAATTAATCCATTAAATTATAAAAAAAATATTTTAAAAAAATATTTCGTTAGGCATCATAAAAAATATTTCAAAAAATCATATTCTTTTTAATAAAAAAAATTCAATAATTTCAATAAAATTACGACAAATACAAATAAATCATTTAAAATAAAATATATATAAAATATTAATTATTTAAATATATTTCATTCATAATATATATATTAAAATATTAAATAACAATATTTCGAAATAAATAATTAAATTAAATAATTAAATTTAATATATATTTAAAATTAAAAAATATATATTTCCAATATATTTTTTATATTATTTCCGGCCAATATTCATAAATATAAATATTATTCATTAAAAAAAAAAAAATCAAATATATTTATTCATTATTTATTTTTATATTTATATATCGAATATCGAAATATATTGACTATGTTCTTAGTATTTTATAAATTAATATATTGTATTTATTTATTTGTTAAATATTAATTATTTATAATTGTATATTTATTAAAAAATAGATATATAATATATATATTATTATTGTAATTTTATAATATATTTAAGAATATTTATAATTTAGAAATTAATTATTTTTTAATTAGATTATTTAATTTCTATAATAAGAATTTAAATGCCAAAAATATATCAATTTATATATATATATATATATTCTAATATATCTAAAAAATATCAATTTATATTACCATGAGGGGACGAAAATCATTTTATGTAAGAAATTATCAATATAGCAATGGGAGGTGAAGTCGGGCGCTCATTGGCACCGCTGTCGGGAATGGGGAAAGAAAAGGCAAAGCTGGAAAATTGCAATAAAGGTGAATATAACCGGTGTTCATTCACAGGTGGGGCGGTAGGGCGCCCCTGTTCTTGTTGAAGGGTTGTTGTTTGTTTGTTTGTTTGCCTTGTCTTGTAGATAGATTCATACAGCCAAACGTGCTGCTAAGAATGGATTGGGGAAAATTTATTGCCGAGCTCATGCGATTGTTTGACCTCATGGAAATAGAAAATCGAATACATAGGTTAGGGGGGCACCCTATTTTCCACCGCTTCAAGGACGATTTAAGCTAAAAACAGGCACCCGTAAGGAACCACGAGAACTTGCCTGCTGTTTGTTATTCGTGCCCTGTAGATGGACTCAAAGACTTGGCGTGCAAGATCAAGTGCTTGGCGAACATGGGGCAAAGAATACTTCTATTTTGGCATGAAATCGGCATTGCAGCCACGCCGAAAGGAGATACAAATAGAATGCGGAATGCACAGGTTTGGGGGGGGAGTGTCCTTTTCCCCCCCGGCTCAAGAGCGTTTCGAAATGGACAAAAAAGCTCCCCTAAGGAAATGAGGGGCGCTTGCCTGCCGCGTGTTGTTCTTGTCTTGTAAATGGAATCATAAATTGGTGCCGATCGATTTGAAATCTACCGCGAAGATCACGATCAATATTTGCTCTATGCCCTCTCCTGCCCTCAACGGACCGCATCAATTCGCACCCCATATGGGATACCCTTTTACACTCCCTTTTACGTATGGTTAACAGGCGTCTTCACAATTAAAAAATCCCCAAACAACTCCAAGATTGCTTGCAGACCCTCTTTTCCTACCACGTCCTCCTCCGTTCTGCCTGTCTCCCAATCTCCTTTCTGCATTTCCTTTCCGCATTCAATTCATTACCTTCCCTTTCTTCTCCCTCTTCTCCCAATCCGTTCCCTTAAAATCCTTCCTATCCTCATGTTCCGCCTCTTTTGTCTAATTTCTTTGTGTCCTCTACTAGCTTCTTGCTCCTAGTAGTAGGGCCAGGAGCCTCTACTAGCTTCTTGCTCCTAGTAGTAGGGCCGGGAGCCCCTAGCAGCTTCTTGCTCCCAGTGCTAGAACCAGGACCCCTAGCAGCTTCTTGCTCCTAGTAGTAGGGCAAGGAGCCCCTAGTTTTTTTGTTTCTAGTAGTAGGGCCAGGAGCACCTAGTAGCTTCTTGCTCCTAGTAGTAGGGCCAGGAGCCCCTAGTAGCGTCCTTGTCCTAGTGTCCTCCGCTCTCAACAGTATTTTTCGTGAAAGGGGCTAAATGCGCGCCACCCACTAAGACTTCCATTACGGTGTCACACATTTGTACCCGAAGTTTCCAAAACGTCATATCCGTCGCTATGCCGCTATGCAGATCAGTGCCGTGGAATCCTCACTGTATGTTTAGATGCAATTAGTATATCACGGTTTTGGTCCACAACCTTTAGTAACAACAATAAAGAAGTCGTTCTTTAAAATACATAATATATCACAATCCATGTGTACATTTCTTCAATAAAATCCTATCATTGACCTTGGTCACACAGATTGAAATTGTCATTTATTCGTTCATTCGATCCAATATTGAATTCAACGAAAAAGCATGAAATTGGTGGTTCGGGTTCTTTTCGCTTCCGAGAAGCAAATTGCTGTAGACTTCAATAGCGATCAGGGTGCTACTGGCGTCTTCTGATGGCTTTCCTCAGCCAACGAGGAACAAATTCACTTGAGCACTGTCGAACTAGTATCATACGTCGTGTGACTGATTTGGCAAGACTTGGACCCAAAAAAAATGAAAGTCTTTCATGCAGTCAGGGTGCGGAAGTCACAGCCTTACAAGCAAGGCGCAGCAAGGTATGGGTATGGGCGTCAAATCTCATCCCGTCTTGCCAAGTAGCTTCTTGTTCCTAGTAGTAAGGCCAGGAGCGCCCCTAGTAGCGTCCAAACGCTCCTAGGAGCGATGCCAGGAGCCCCTAGTAGCTTCTTGTTCCAAGTAGCTAAACTTCTGTCCCAGCATGACCTTTGCGCCACTGCGGCGGCCATTGAGAAAAAGCTCAAACTTGAGCTTTGTCTTCTCCTGGCACGCCAGGTCGACAAGGCCGACGCAAAACAGGTGTTGGCCCAAGGCCACGACCTGCCTCACAAAGCACCGCCACTGCACAATCCCCATCTCCCGTCATCGAGGTGCCATTTGGAAAGAAGGCCAGTCTGAGGAGAACACCTGCGACGTCTAGACGTTTTGCTTAGAACTTACTGTGCGTCTAGACGTCTTTCCGGCGCGTTTCGCCGATCAAATCTGGCATCACGTTCTTGTTGGATCGGACCGACCCTCACGTGCTGCATTGGGACTGCTCCAACGCCTGAAACGACACCTTGCCTGCAACGCTGAATTTCTGGCTCTCCACACCTGCATCTGAACTCAAATTCACCACTTCTTCGCAAGAGAAAAACAACTGCCATCGACGGCCTTTTGGCCTTAGGCTCGCACGCTGCACTACATTCACTATATAGGCTGCAGTGTCCTTTCTGCACCAAAGACCAAATCAAACCAAATCAGTCCAGACTGCCCTGCAACTGAAGCGACAGAAACTCATATCTTCTGATGTCGTGGGCTTTGTCCATGATGATTCTGGTGGAACAATTCCAAGCGAAGCACTTCGGAGACCCGTGACGCCCATGATCTGGCATCGAGGAGACCCGCGAGGTCTCCGCTGAGCTCAGTGCGACGGTGAGAGCTGGATCAATGAGCCAAAGATGCTTCACACTCCAAACGCATGGAGTCCAACAATAGCAATAGCTCCTTTGGATGACCTCCAAGTTCACAAGCCAGGAAAACAGACTCATAGGCGATGACACTGCTTGTCACGAAGAAGTCTGTTAGCGTATCGTAAATGCCTAAGGCATCTGCCCAGAGACTACCTTTGGCGCAAGCACCAAGAATTGCATTACATGTGATCTCGCTTGGTTCCAGCCTGTATTCCAAAGACTGCTCGAACAATAGCAAGGCACGATGAGCTTGGCGACCATTGCCATAGGAAGTGATGGCTGCGTTGCAGGAGGTGATGTCAGGGCTGACAAGGTGCAACGTCTGCATCTCCGAGAGCAGCTGTTCTGCCTGAAATTTACGACTAGGACATGCAAAACAACCCGCTTCACCAGACCCAACATGAACCTCAAAGGAGGCTTGAGAAAAAGACTGACAAGTGACGCGCATCCATTGCACACCACGGGCACAGGCCCTGAGAGTGGAATTCAGTGTGATCATGTCGACAAAAAATGGATCAATGGCTTTCAGCAAGTGCAGAATATATCGCCACTGCACAACCTTCTCGCAAGCAGCAGCTGCAGCTGTGAAGGTCATCGCATCCGCTCTAGTGGAGTGTATATCCAGCTGTCTTAGGATCTGCATCACCTCCTCCCAAGCCCCATAGTCATAGACCCCCGCCACCGAATTGTAGGTGGAGGTATTTGGCCTCAAGGACCTGACAAAGGAACGCTCCAGCAAGCTGTGGACCAACTCCCAAGCTTTTCCAAGCGACCCTAGACTCCCAGCAGCACAAGCGCAAATCACTGCATTGTGTGCAGGGAGATCTTCCTGAAGGGTTCTCTTCTGCAAGTTTTGAAGCAAACCCAAGGAAAGTTGCCAACGACTTCCCTTTTCACAGGCACTGATGGCAGTACTAATTGCAACGACATTCTGCTGCACCTGGTTTTCTTGGAGCCACTCAATCAGAAGGAGTGGCGCTCGCCATTCAGCGCACTTCTCGCAAGCATTGATCATGGCACCGCAGGCCACCACAGTGGGTTCCACCAGCACCTCCTTCATTTGCTCCTCATCGGGAAGCAAGAGTCAGGTAGCTACCAGGTAGCGGGGGTGACTGACGACTACCAAATGACTGCCACCGACAATGCCATGCAAAAAGTGACCCAGTACTTAGGAGCAAGGACGCTACTAGTAGCTCCTGGCCTTACTACCAGTAACAAGAAGCTACTAGAAACAAAGGGCATTGCTACTAGGAGCAAGGACGCCACTAGTAGCTTGGAACAAAATCTATCGTAAAATGTCACACGCCCAGACTCGAGCAAGGAGCTGGCTTGACGCCACTGTCGAAAAGCACTGAGGCCCGCGGAATAGGTGATGACCTCAAGTGCTCGCGTCGCCATCCAAAATCAACCATTGCCATCTCAAAAAGATGCATCTCTATATAGAAATCCGAAGCTCAAAACCTTTAAACAAAAGATATGTAACGCGCTGTTCGTCTGTTTTTTGGAGCCCCAGAGACTCCCACTATGTCCCACTTCTTGGGACCCTGACATTCGGCACGTGCGTGCTGCGGAGAATGTCCAAGAGCAACAAGGCCCAGGTCCAGTGCTCCACCGCTGTGATGGCGGAGTTGAAGGTGATACGATCCTCGACGTCGCGGACACACGGAACTGGACGACTGACGTCTCGGATCGGTGACATCCATTTTGGCTGTGACAGCTAAGCAGCTACGGATAGGTGATGTCCACCTGATGCTAGTATTTAAGGGATACGGTGTATTCAGGAAGGAGCTCCTTATTGCTATAGAGTTCCTTGGGTGCTGAATGTTGTACCTACTGGTGGCTCAAGACATCTTCGGAAGGGAGAACAAAATGAGAAATCGACTGCTGACTTTGAGATGATTGGCCAGAGATGTTCCACCTGCAGCCATGGACCTCAGAAGGCTTCCTACGTTTCTCCATTGTGATGATGTCTGAAGAGCACTGAAAGCAGTGTTGTAAGTGACCACATCTGCTTCCACACCATCTGCACGCATGGTCGTCATCACAAGTCCAGCCTCTTGCCAGCGACTTCCTCTGTCAAAAGCACTACTGAGAGCATTATAAGTGACAAAGCTCGGTTCAACTCTGCCAGCAGAAAAGCCCGCAAAGGCTTCCAAGGCTTTCCCCCAAGCCCCGCACTTGCTGATGTAGGTGGTTCTGGAGAAAACATCTGCATCCAGGAGATGCACCGAACGAATCCAAGTGGTCTCCTTCAAATGTCTTTCTCTTCTTGGCATCGGCGACCATACGCCGAGCCTGTGGAGAACGTCACCTCGCGTCACCTCATGTCAGAAGATCTGCGGCACAAAAAGGGCTTGCGTTGCCGGCTGGACCTCATAGAGCTCATCCGAAGGGTCTCATCGTCACTGGAGATTCTGCTTGACACTTTGAAGCCAAATGCTACTTTGTTCAACCCTGGTGTTTACAAGGATGTTCAACCCTCCCGTGGTCCAGATTGTATTCTTTTGACTTCATTCCTTGGGCCTTGTCCTTGACATTTCGCTCCTTGAGCCTTCCTTGTGCTACAGGCCAGATGCGGCCAAACTACACAAGTGCAAAATTATGTCGTTGATGATAGATGCAATATTCATTCCAAAACTAACAAAGTTCAATCGTGAAGTCGCCCAATGGATGGTGCCTTCACCTTGAGCACAATCCTCAGGGGAGAAGCCAACATCTGATCCTTAGCCAATCATGACATGTCCATCTCAACACCGAGCTGACTGCTGAGCTCACTGAGCTCACTGAGCTTTGATCCCTCGATGCACCACTGCAGCCGCCGCCCTTCCACCGCAAGGACTCCAAGCCGCGGCAAAACAGTTGAACCTCAAAGCCGGGACCACTGAAGCCCTTCGCAAAGGGACTCTCACTCAGTCTTACGCTAGCCAACTAGATCCCCTCCCACCCGTCAAGTATCCTAATGTCCGTAGGAAGCTTCCTCTGGCGTCTGGGTGGTCAGGAGAGGGGATGCAAAGCGTACGCCATCGTGCGCCCAAAGGCCGTGACCGCCAGCTGCGGAGCCAGCTCCGGAGCCAGCGGCAGCGTGGCTGCTGGCTTGGCTACTGAGCCTAGGCCCAGCACTCTTTGTGGCAAAGCTGGGCTCTAAAAAACTAACAAACTCCAACGAACTAAACCAATAAGTGCAACCAAGCGGCCCCGGATCCCAATCCTTCCAAAGCAGTGCGCTGCTTGTTATGTTAGATTAACAAACCCCAGGCTTCAGGTGATCATTTTGATCAAATTTTTGACATGGCCAAGAAAGCTCCCAGCAAACCAAGGGAGGTCTATCGCTTCAGTGACACCCACAGAACACTTTTGCCCTCCAAGTTGCGGGTGGGTTTCCGTCATCTTCCTGACTCGACCTCGTTGGAGTCTCCAAATTTCCAACTTTATAGCCTAGTAGCTCCTGGCCTCGCTACTAGCAACAATAGCTACTAGTAACAAAGGGCATCGCCACTAACAAAGACGCTGTCAGATCTTCTAGTTTCTTGTTACTAGTAGCTTCTAAGTACTAGTAGCGATGCCCTTGGTCCTAGTAGCGATGCACCTTGCTACTAGTTTCTCTGAAGAATTTGCACGTCACCAAGTGACTTTGGAGAAAGGGATGCAGACTGCGGCACGCCAGAGGACTCTGGAAGCAGCTGCGGCGTCAGAAAGCTCTCCTGCGTGTTAGACAAGCACATTCACCAACTGATTGGCATCAAACGTTTTGAAGGAAAAGCATCTTTCATCTCCCATCACCTCATCAAAAGCATCCTCTTCTTGGAAGGCTGCGCTGTACCTTGCGATCTGTAGAGCCATCAGGCCTTTATCGCCTTTACCCGCCGTGGGCCCGATGGCTTTCTGGGAGTCCTTTTCTGTTTTTGTTTTCAATAGCAATGGCCTCCAACCTTCTAGCGATGGCCTCTGTAAACTTCCTGGATTTTTGGGGGCTCAGGGGTGCAGTGGGCCTTCTCAACTGGTTGGATATGGTTTTCTGGGAAGAACCTACACAGGGGTGTTAGGTATTGCGGTATTGCCATCGCATGGATGCACCGGCCTTCAACCCATGGTGGAGCAGCTCCAAAAAATAGTCAGCCAGCATCAGCCAGCCAGTGCAATACACACGCCTCGCACCGCCCTGGGCACTCTGCAGCCTCCGGGTGCTCCTGCCAAACCTTCTTTCAGTCGTCTGCAAAGTCATCTGGTCTGCAAACACCCGAACAACTCCAAATCCCTTCGTGAAGGTGAATGGCTGAAGCAACTAAAGCTCGAGAACTTGGTCATCGCTTCCTGTCCAGGTTGACTAAGGCTTGAGCCCACTCGGACGTCCAAGGGGCCTGGTGCTACGAGCTGTGAACAAGCCCGACTCTTTTCCAATCAGCCACTGCCGGTTCGTCATCTCCCACAACGGGCACCAAAAAGGGGATCGTCTCATTGACGCAAACTCTGCTGTCTGAAGCTCGAGCAATGTGCCTGCGCGGCGCCCGGGACGAAGGCTGGAGTGTTAGCAGACAGCTGCGGCCTTTCTGTGGGCCTTAGTTGCGACAACAAACTGATCTCGTGGCCCTTGATCAAACATATTTGACTAGAAGGAAAATGCGGAAAAAGGCGTTTTATAGGCCTGGCACCTCACAGAAAAATACAATCTCACAACCTAGGGCGGTTTGGTCTTTACCGTTTTCACCCATGTAAAGCAGCCCTCCAACCTGGCCAAACACGTGTCCGCAACAACATCTCCATCGTCAAGTTTGCCCCGCCAAATCCATCAGCCCCAACCACCAACCCGCTCTGCATCCTGAGTACTGGCCCCACTGATAGTTCGCAGGAACGAACTCTGTGGCATCCACACGCATGTGCCTCGGCCGCTTAGGCCGGCTGCAGAAGTCCTCTTTAGCAAACATGTGACTCAAACATACGACGCAACACATATCAGTCGATCGAATCTATATATATATATCACATGTGGATTCCTTACAGTACCAGTGTGCCACATGGCGGGCAAAACCAGTCATATCCAGTCCTCTTGTGTTCTGTCAAGTCTGAGTGAGCCACGCTATGTGCTTTGGACATCGCGCAGATGGCGCGTCTCAAACGGCCAAGATTGAGCCAAGAAGAAATGATGCAAGCAGCCGGTAGCACGCCTAAGCGAAGTGGGGAGTGGAAGACTGAAGCCGCCTTCATCATTCTTGACATAAAAAGGCGGCGACTTGCAGGCTTGAATGCACTGGTGCGCTGTTCTGTGCTCGTTAGGTCTTCTTCGGCAAAACCCAAAAACCAATGCACGCGTCGCGCGCACTACAATGGCCGACCCACGCCATTGTCCTCGAACCAGACTTTTTTCACACGCATCTGCCCAGGTATGCACCATTGATGCTTGAGAGGGAACCTCAGCTGATCAGTATAGGCTGTGCGGTGAGTCCTAGTTGGAAGTCTCAAATGCGCTCAGTGAACGGGAAAATGGACTGCTACCGTAAGGAGTGGCCATTTTGACACAAGGAACACGCCACGGTACCTTAGAGAACAAGAAGATGCAAAAGACCTTCTAGGTCTACGCTGCAGACACTGCGACCAAATGTTTCATTCCTGAATTATTCACCAACTCGGCAGCACGTCTTTGCACCGCTTCAGTTTGTTTTGATTCTCATCAGAAAGTCGCTTGCTTGAAAGAAGGCTATGTGGACTTTTTTGAGCTGGTCATTGTCGAAACCGCCAGGAGAATGGCAAAGTTCCACATACCGCTCCTCAACTTGCCACAGGCTGGAGCTCACTGGCAAGTCCAAAACTGCTAGAGCTTTCTCGAGAGATCGGCTCTGTCCTGTTCCCACGACGAATTGCAAGAGGCTCCGGGAAGCCCAACATCCCAGGGGTGTGGCTATGGCTAGAAGGGCTCCGATGGTTGTCACACCTTTGGACAACACTGCGGCCAAAAAAAGCTCTGCTAGGTCTTTGTTGTCAATGCTGCCACTGCACCAACACCAAGAAGCATTGATGACCCTCCACGCCAGAAGGATCCAAGTGGCACCAGAAAGGTGTTGCAGAACTTCACCGTTGCCCAGTTGTTCTTGCAAGCACTCCCACACCTCTTGACAATCAACATGCATCCACTCGGCCACTACTTGCTGCACTTCCCTTACCCTATCATGCATGCATTCGACCATCCATTCATACATCTCGTGCATGCGCACATGAGGATCTGATTCAACTTCTTCCATCAATTGGTTCCAAGTGTCCCGATCCAGCGGGCCATTTTTGTGTAAAAGCCCGTGGTCACGCGCAAGTTGCTGCACAACAGCCTCGTGATATTTCTCACCGTTGTCAGTCCAAGAGCTACATGTATCCATCAGTTGGAATGTGGGGAAGTGCTTCCAAGGCGCTCCCAGCTAGGAAGGCGAGAAAAATATCGTCAGCACCTTCTGTCAATTCATGCAGGCTTGCTTTACCTTCGGCGAACTAATGATTCTGGTGTGCATATGTCTGCATCAGACCTTGACATAAGGAAAGCCAAAGCTGCTGGAGACTTTGTGTTGATTTCTGGCCTCTGAGGCCACCTTGGAATTCCACAATAGGCCACATCGTGGAACAGGTCCTTCGCCGACTTGAAGAGACCAAAGGTTCCAAGACTGCTGACCTTCTGATTGAAGTCTTCGAGACTCAAACCTGCGACGTATGCTTCAGGGCTCGGATGTCCCGCAAAAGCCGCCGCAAACACCGATGCCTTGAGCACACCTGGTCTGCACAGCACGGTTCTCACCGCTTCCCGAGCAGCTTCGATCACTTCGTGCATCCGGGGTCCCAAGGCCTCCTGCACTGTCCATGGCAGCCAAACAGCTGGAGCATCAGGCCCCAAGGGCCCCGCTCCGAAGAGAAAGCCAAAATCAATGCGGAAGAGCTCGCCATCTTCGGTGAGCATCAAGTTGTCACCATGTCCATCTCCTATGCCCAGGAGGTATGAGCACGCAAGGAAAGCAGCTGTGGAAGCAGCCAGCTTGTCAAGTCGGGTGCTGTCATTCTGCAAGTATCGCCGAGCCCTCGTGCCAGGCCTTGAATCACTTTGGATGATACTGTTGATGATGTTGCTCATCGTGCCACTTGTCCTTTTCAGCTTTCCAAGCGTCACACACTTCTCCGCGACCTCAACCAAACTATCATCGTGTCCTGCCAGCAGCATTCGGTAGGTCTTTGCATGCACTTTCTGGCCACATGCCTTGATGCCACCTGCCTCCCACTCCTGGTTCAAACTGGCAATGACTTCCATGGCACAGGCTTCGCGGCCAATGTCCTCTGGCTTGACCCAGACCTGCTCAACTTGAGCATCCATGGGCGAGTAATAGAATTCTTCCGCCTCTCCACCTTGACGGTGTCATAGCTGCGTTCTACGCGGTCCTCACCCCTGATGGAAACATGCTTGGGAAGCTGGTGCTCATCATGGTTGCCATCCTGAATCTCCCGCACTTTGCATGCAACAATCCGAAGTTCTGCTGAGAGGAAAGAGCTGCATAGCGCCGATAGGTGATCAGGTCTTGCAAACACTTTTTAGTGTGGTTCACATCAGAGGACATGCGGTCCACGCAGGGTTGCGGCGTGGCTTGAGCACATGACGGCTTTCTGTGCGCACAAATACCGAACTGGCCAACCTCAAAGCATCTGATGCAAAGAAAACATCAGGTGTGGAGAGGTGTAGAAGTTCCAAACAATGCCAAACAGCCATTAGAAGCTCAACTCATCTGAGCCCATCCAAGAATCAGCCCCTTTGGCACTGAGGCTGTCACAGGCACCGTGCCACATGCAGCACTAGCCTCTCCAATCCTCAAACCTCAGCTTTGCACGTCACTTCTCTTATGTCCCTGCTGATTTTAGAGTCTGCCCAATTCAAGGCAGCAAGCAACCCTTCCTGCTGCGGAGGATGAGGTGAGAATAAGAACTCCCTCAGCATCAAGTATAGTGGTTCAACTAATGACACAGTATCCGGATCAGCAACCAACATCTAAAATAAACCCGCCGCGCGGATGCACAACAACGTTCTCTGCGCACCTTGCGGCTACAGGTACAGTAGTTCAAAACACCGTACCGTAGGGTTGCAAAATGCAATCAGCCACGAAACAGGATTGCGGTAAGCATCCCATCTTTGGCATGAGGCTATTGATGTATCTTGACCGATGAGCGAATGGCGAATGAAAGCATCTCAAACATGCTGTCCAGGCTCCTCGCCAAGCCGCCATGCTGGACATCACAGTTGTCATCCTCCGACGCACTCTTATGGCAGGGCTGGACCTGGAGGCATCTAAGTACCGACATGTCTTCTGCACATTCGGGTGAAAACTGTTTCTCTCCAACGGTCCACCTGTGAAATGACGAGCAAACAATCGTTAGGGACCGTACTTGCGATGGCCTCCAACCTACTAACGGTGGTGTTCGTGAATCCTGGATGCACATGTAATTGTAACATCTGTCTATCCAGCGTGTGTGCTTCTGAGACTTCTTGCGACCTTTTTAGCCTGAGCAAATCGGAGCAGTGCACATATGCACGGACAATGCCGCTCACACAAGTTTCGCAGAAATGTCAAAAATAGTTACTCCTGGTTTGCCCTGCTGGCGGATGTTATCCGACAATGCAGCAAAAATTGGAGCTACGGAGGGCCCTAGCTATACCTCCAGTACAACCGGAGCCCCGTGCTTCCAAGTCGCGATTGGCTTTGCCAATGCAACGAACTACGGGCCGTTCGGTAGCGAGGCCATTAGGCATCCGGAAGAATCCCGTCAGGTTCCATGTCTGGGGGCTGAATCGTGCCGAAGGATTCTCCACCATCATCTGCCACTTGCGCAGCGCCATAACAACACTTTCCACAAAGGGCGATCAAGATGGCCAGCAGCACTGAGGAAGCCAGTTTCATGCCGCCAGTAGCTCCCAGGATGGAGAAAAGGCGGGTGAACATGTTCGCAGTGATATCTGCCAAGACCGTCTCACCAGGAATGCTGATGACAATCACCCAATCAAGGCCGAAGAACTCAAAGTCGCGAGAAAGAAGGAACTCTTCGGCAGGCTCCAAGCCGGTTGTTTTAATCTCCGGCCTAGACAGGGAACCTACTAGCGATGGCCTCCAACAGTCTTTCGGACGCTTGCTTCTGTGCACAGAGGCGCTACTATGCTCTTGCGTGCTATCCTGGAGCTCTAGATGAAAAGCCTAGTTACTGAACAGGGCAAAAAGAGCTAGGACGAGATAGGCGTACGCAATCTTGGGATCTTCCCACTCTTCCCATTCCCTGCCTGCCAAACAAGTTCCTGACGTTGCTCCAATCCCGCGCAGAAGCACCGGCCATTTGTACCAATTGCTTGGCCCGTTCGGAGACTCTTGGGTCGGGAGACTCGGTAGCAATGATCACATCCGAGTAACTGGCATTTGTGTGGTAGTTCTTCAAGACCCGAATCTCCGGTTCGGACGTGGAAATCAGCACCCCAGTCTTGCGCTCGACCAGAAAGATGAAGGTCCCTGCCGGCTTCTTCAGTTCTTGCAAGTAGGCAGTGATCCAATGTAGCTTGAAACCTACCACCCAACCACCAATCAATTCACCGCCGGGGCTATAGATTGGGGTGAACATGTGAGACTTCAGAACTGCTGGAGGATACAAAGTCCAAGGGAAAACTCGAGTGGCAAAGCGGACTTCGCCCTTGGACAAGTTGTACTTGCGAATGTCTCTGTACCAATATCCATCTTGAATCGGCCAATGAACGAAGCCAATGGGTTGCACCCAATGCCCGAAACTGTCCTCCTGCCGGCACTCACTGGAATTTCCCACGCATCCGGGGTTAATAGATTCGTCTCCCAACCAGGGCGATAAGGAACGCTGCTTCTCGTACCACCTGCCCAAGAGAGGTTGGGTGTTGTGGCTCACACCGTCCGCAAGCGCTTAGGGGAAACACCATGAAACACCTGTCGTGAACATCAAGCAAAATCAAGGCAAGGCAGTCATGAGCAAAAGAAACTCTCATATCCTCTCAGTTCATTATCCAATATTCTCCATACTTGTTCCATCATCGTTGCCTATCCCCTCAACATCGATGCAGCGTATTCTCTCTCACACCGGTTTCCCAAGCAGGAACGATGTTTCAGCGCCTGAAGGTCAGGGTGTTGTTGCGACCACCAGAGAGTCTTCCCGGTAGGACCTGCACAAAATCTCCACTGTGCTCATTCTGGCAGCTGCCGTCGCAAACATCGAGTCCGGGGTATTGCCCCGTGGTGTAGGTGTCTGAATACTGGAGCACGCCCGCCCAAATGCTGTCGCCCCCCAAGTCCATGCTTCCAAGCTCTCCATCCATCGAGTTCGTGTTGGTTCCCGTGCAATCCGGATTCTCCATGGCGTGGCAAAGGAGAACGTCATCATACCTGAGATTGGTAAATATCCCTGAGCAGCACCTGGATTCATCGAAGTAGGTCTCAAGAAAGGATCGCTGGTATGGGAGAGTCTTTTGCAAATCGCTCCACTGGCTCAAGTTCCACCCAAACTCCTCAAACATGAGAATGCCTTGCTGCAAATAGATCCGCAAGGGTTCCATCTTTCCGATCATGTAAGTTTCAATTCCAATGCCAATGGAGGACTGGAGCTGAGTTCCGATGGATCCAACTGCAAAAGCTCCCGTGGACGTGTTGATGACGAAGACCAGGCTGGACGTCAAAAGCGCAATGGACACCGCAAAGAAGACCTCGTCGCAGTTGTTCTTCGGCCAAGTCTACTATATAAATGTGATATTGATATAATATCGATTGATATGGATGAACCTAAGCAATACCATGCAATACCGCAGAAAAACCAAACAAACAAGTCGCAAAGCATCTGTCAAAAATTGCCCAGGTGCCTTGAAAACCTTGAGTCGGAATGGCTCTTGTTGGGCACCCATGGCTGAGGACTCCGGATGCCAAAGGCCGACTTGTGGTGCCGAGATGAAGGGGTGCGTGCTGTTTGTGCCCCATGCTCTCGTACTTATATATCTAATCTACAAGACCTACGTGTATGTCATGTTTGATACTTCTGGCTGTCTCGTTGCAGTGGGACCTAGTTCCGTGTCCTTGGGAAAAGTGAGCGGTACCGGTTCCTGTGATCTATACGATACACACCGGATGGTGCCCAGCGGCCATAAAACTGCGGCCAAACGGAGCGGCCATCAAACCTGTCGCCAAACATGTGCATGTGTGCATGTTTGTCGAGAACAAATGACCAAGAATGTCTTCTTCTACGTTCGAAAATGCACTACAGTACTAAAAAGTACTGAACTTTGAATGTGTAAAATGTCGAGCAAACAGCTTGTTCACATCAGTGCCAATCCCCGTGGCCTCGACTCTATCAGTGTCATCAGGGCCTGCCACTGCTGACACAAACGAGGTTCCCCGTGGCGCAGCACCCAATATCTTGACACAAAGCGTCTCGACGACGTATCATGAAGAATGTTGGAAGTCGTCGTTTGGCTTCTGAGTGCCGGCTGGGCTGCTGGAGCAAATCTTGCAGCTCCCACTAGCAAACAATACAAAAAGGCTGCGAAACCGCCTGCATGGTGGGCTAATTGGCAGCTTGGAGACTATGTTTGGTGTCGTTCCTACCTTTCCAAATCTGTGCTAGTTGAACTTGGAAACTCCTAACAGTTTTAACTAGACAGTATCGACACACTACCTGACTGATATGTGCCTGGAAGACCTCCAAAACCGGCTAGGGGCTGCATGTGATTGCGTAGAACATCTTTCTTTCCTCAGCCACCCTGGGCCCTACTGCCTGATCCCTCAGAACTCACAAAGATGCTCAGGCCAACCAGCATCTGAGAGGTGCAGCAAAGACGAGGATTGGCGAGGTGAGACATGCTGAGCGATGTGTGCTTTTACTTGGACTTGGACTTGCTGTGATAAGCTGTGGTTGAACTAGACCGATTCAAGCAACACATGAAATGACTTCCGGCGACACCACCATGTTCGTTCAGGTGACCTCATCTTGGTACGGCAAAGGCCCAAGGCCCTGTTGAAAACGCTGGTGCGCAGCTGGAAGTGGTCTTTGCCAGTCAATATGTGAAAATACCTCCCGACAACAAAACAAAGGGCGTGGACAAAATCGACGCACCACGACACACCCCAAGATCCAAAGTGATCCGATCGACCGAGGACCTTCACGGGCACTGGCTCCGTTGGACCTCGGACGCCGAGCAACGACGGGTCGTTTGTCCGCTGGAGATGTCAGGCAACAAGAGTTAGAGGCATCATCTCACCTATGAACCACCAGGTGCTCTGGCATACAAGACCCTATAACCCTTTTCACCCAAGAGCCCATAGTTAACCCATACAAAACCCGTAACAAATAGAAAGGGCTTTTGCGGAAGGGCTTCAAAAATCCGGATTTGGCTGCAAGGACAAGGACACTGTTTCTGTTAAGACCCTGCGGTCTTTCAGGTTTGGAGATTGCTGGCAGCCAAGTGGTCGCAAAGACCTTGACCAGAAAGTCCAAGAAATCTCTCGGGCCGTCCAAATCTGTCCCATGGCTTCACTTTTTCTCGACTGAAACAAAGATGAAAAAAGTGCCACGGTGGAAACAGTCTTACTCGGGCATTGTTGCGGAGGGAAATGTCTTCTGAGGCGCCCGGCGTGCGGTTTTTTAGGGCTTGGCCGGTCGCCTACACGATCTTCACAGAAGCCACCTCTGGGGAGTTGTCTGCATCGACTCACATGGCAATTCGGCCGTCGGCAGCACAGAAAGGTCTTTCTAGAGAAAGCTGTTGGTTCTTGAGCCCCATGAACTGATGTCTCTCTTCGATGCTTTGCTATGCCTGAAGTTCCAGGGCACAAGAGACAAAGGGCCTAGTGATATCAAAGGGGTTTTCCTCAACATAATCTTTGGCGGTTAAGCCTTAGTTCACCAATCGTGCAACACATGGTGCAACCATGTTGCACATCACAGCAATGCAATGTGAACCGCCTCCACTGATGATCTCAGAAAGTGGCTCTGTTCAACGAATGGTGCGCATGTCATCTGTGGAAGTCTAGTTCATCACTTGAAACTGGTCCCCCATGATTATATACAATTCCATGTTCTATGTAATAATTAACCTTAATAATATCGGCCCGTAGCCACAATTACACGCCATGTTTCTGGGGATTTAGTGCTTTGCATCATGCAACCTGGAGATTTCATGAGGTTTCTACACCGATCCAATCACCATCTCCGGCGCTTGGGTCACCAAATCCTTGACTCACACCCATATCTGGATTCATCCTTCCTTTACTCTTTCCGGTCTTTGTCATGAGCATTTCACCAGTTCTTATGGTCCTCGAAGCCAAGCGGCTCCTTGAAGATCCTTGAAGGCGTTGAGTTCGGCCTTCTCAAAGGGATCCAAAGGCACCTCAGCACTTGATTCGTCGAGTGACGCTGGATGGGATGACACATCGCTGAAGCCGTACTTGGTTGGGTGACATGCCAGTCCTCAAGAGGCTCAATCGCTTTTTTGGCTCATCGCTTTGAGTCCGGATTGAACTCACGGTGCCGAGAATGCTCCCAGCAAGCACGACAGCATCTCAGACCGATCGGTGGAGAGGTCATGATGCACTGGTGCCATGATGCACTGCTCTGAGATGCATGCGCACCATTCCGACCACAGCTCAACGTAAGCCATGCCAATCTTCCAAGTTTGGACATCGATGGAGGGTAGGAGAGGGCTTGTTGCACTGATGAAAGAAGATGTGAGTTTGGGCATCGTTTGGTCGTTATCTTCACCCAAAACTCCCGGCCCTCCACAAGAGGACTGCGACATCGGTCGATCAGTCGATTTCCCTGCGAGACATTATGCCCATACATGCTTCATGCTCGTCACCCTGGCAACTAAAATCATGCAATGGTCATAGGGGCATGATGGGGCATTGGTGTTTTCATGGTCTTTCAACTCTAACATGCCAGGATCTCATGAGACCCGAAGATGGGCTCAGTGCACCTTCGACTCGCGAAGCGAGTCGCGAAGCTCCTGAATTCCTTTTCGCAGCCGAGCGCGCTCACCCAGCGTCAGTTGTTTGCAAAACTCGTCAATCTCCTGCCATAAGAGCGATGAGCTGCGGGACAGCTGAAACATGAACTTCAAAGACCCCCCCCATGCATGTGACATTCCACTCAGAACTCCCTGCTTCAATTGCATTGAATTGCATTCTACAAGCCTCTGATTTCGCAGCCGGTCCGCCTCCTCTTTCAGGTCCACCAGCTCAAAGCGATTTGTGATCTCCTTCGAGAAGGAATCGCGCGTTTCATGGTTGATGCAGGTCGGGAGGTCCGCCCATTAGACCCACAGCCGACCCACTGAATTCTCAGGAGCAAAGGACGCCACTAGGGGCTCCTGGCATCGCTACTAGTAACAAGGGCCTTACTAGTAGTAACAAGAAGCTAGTAGAAACAATAAATAGACTTTAAAAAGCATTAATAAGTAAATAGAATTCAGTCCCATGTGAACCGCACACCTCAAGCCATGTGGCTCTCGCTCTTGCGGCCCTCCCTACTTGCTGAGGCTCCTGAGGTGACCATGCTGGGACTACAGTCTACATCGCTCCGCTCATCTCCACTAGTCACAAATAGACTATATCAATTTAAACACATGCATTCATACGGCGGGTGTTTCCTTGGTCCTTGCCCTGTCCTCGTCACTCATCTGCTGGAGCACGACGTCTGAAAGTCTGTGTCGGTTCTGCCGGTGACCGAAGCTGGAGCGAGCATTCTTGAAGCTTGAGATTCGATCGAAGACCAAACAAAAGAACTTGAAAGACCGAGCAAATAATGTCTCACATCGGTCACGACTTTCAACAAAACTGGCCAACCCATAAGGCTGCTTTACCGCTTGTTTGGGTGATGTTGCACAATGGATCACAATCATAATCGTTGGTCCAACAAAACTCGCAGAGACTTGAGCTCCCCACGCAAAATGCCCCCAAATCTGTCAGATCTGTCCTTCCAACCTGCAAGGACTGAGAATCGGAGAGTCTGTGCTTTTGCTCAAAAAATGCATCCCTTTGAGTATTTTTGCCTCTTCACCTTTGTTCACCCTCTCGTTGGCTGAAATGGCACGCTCGCACCTCTGGACTTGGAGTGCTCGAAGGCACGTGCTCGTGTTGATCAGAGCTTTGATCTGGAAGAGCCTAAGAAAGCCGAAGAGATAAAGACGGCCAGGTCTACTGGTCTTCTAAAAAGCAAAGGAAAAGCATCATTAGAACACGCATACTTTAAGATATTGCGTTTGGTGGGATGACTCTTCAGCTTTGCACATCACCCGGCCTCTGGAGCTACCGCTTCATCCGCTCCGACTGACCTCCCTGTCAAGGGGCTGTAGCAGAGGAAGCTGTGGCAGCATCGCTCTGGGAGAGAGACGGCTGAGAGGGTCCCACAGCCGCTCTGCCAGGCATGTCCGAAGGCATTTTGCACCAGCGCTCCAGTTCCTTAAGGGCGCTCAAGGCTGCATTTTGCTCTGCCCCCTTTTTATTTTGTGCTGATTGGCCCACTGGAAAGTGCTGAGACAACGATGGGATGTGCACCTCAAACTCAAACCTGTCTGGAACTCTGTCTGGATCACTGCTTGTCGGGGCCGATTCGTGATACTCCAGGAAACCCTTGTCCAGTGGGCCCTTAGAGATGTGCATCAGGCATTCGTTCAAACAGCCTTTCGGATTGCCTTCACCCTGGCGGCGCCATTTCTCCAAAGTGGTGGCCACTGCGTGCCTCTGACTCTGCAAAGCTTCATAAAAAGCTCTTGAAGGGGTTTGCTCGGTGCGCTCTTCCAACCGCTCTCGCACGGTCACATGCTGAACTTCAGGAACCGCAGGCCGGTTGTGCTCATCGATATTGCCATTGTGGCGGAGTTTCCTGATGGCTGCCAAGGCAAATCGCTTGCTTTTATCACTCTCCTCGGCAACGAAACCAAGGCGCAGTTGATGCCTAGTTGCTGACATTATTTAGTGAAGTGCTAGTGACAAACATACATCATACTGCACAACTGTGTCTGATGAGATACCTGACACATCCAAGCTAAGCTAATCCAAGTGTCGCTTTCAAAATCCTTCTCATCTTCCGATTCGAGGCGCAAGGATCCGCCATCCATGAGGGGAAGGAGACGTGATGCAATGACCTGATCGGGTTGCTCTTTCCCTCGTGATGCCTTCGTGACCTCAGGACTCGACAGCTTACAGCCGCAAGAAAGCAACGCTTGCAATCCGAACAGCAAAACAAAAGCAAACCTGCCAATGCAAAAGCAAATGGCATAGGTATTGAAGATCTGCAAGCAGTTGCTTCCATTTACTTCTGCGCCGGTTGAAGGATCTGTAGAGGAATTTGTGTCCAGCTGAGGGCTCAAAGCCGGCATCTCTCCCACGGGAGCCTCTTCTCGTGCAATTGCATCGACAAGTTCGGCCTCATGCTCATATTGGTCTGGGTCATTCTCAAAGTAAAGAACCAATCCTCCCTTCCCCAAGTTTCTGCATCGGCCAGTTCCCTGAACATGACTCTTGACGTTGTGGAACCGGTCAAACCGAACCACGATGTTGCAGTCTGGGATATCAATCCCCTCTTCCAGGCTATCTGTAGACACCAAGCACCAAATTGATCCCTCCTTGAATTCATCGATATTCTTCTGGCGGACGGTGTCTGACATGGAGCCCGTTCCACTCACGGGCCGCACACCAGGCTTCACATGCTTGTCCAGCAAATCAGCCAAAGGATCGGTGGTAGCAACTTCTTTTACAAAAACGATGCACCTGGTTGAACTCCTGGTTGAATCATCCACCAACACCAACTCATTCAAGCGACCGATCAGTGCACCAACCTTGCCTGTCTGTGGCTCCAGATCCTCCTGACAGCACTTGAATGGGTCATTCGACATGATGCGCTGCAACGCCTGAAGGTGCTGCATTTTGCCTGGAAACTGAAGCGTTCTTTCCTTTCATAAAGACTGCCTGTTTTTTTTCCAGCTCAGACTGGGCGTGACAAAGAAGGAAATTGGTGAAGTAGCACTCGCCTGCTTCTGCACCCAGCAAGCCCACGACATCGGCCCCTCTTTTGGCACGGTCATCCAACAGCTTGCGCAGGTCCTCTGGCAACTCTTCTGGCAAGACGGCTTTCATGCGTTCAAGCCACTTTGTTGCTTTGTGAGCAAGTGCGAGGCATTCCTTGTGCCTGTCGTCTGCTGGTAGAAGTTCCAAGGAGGTTTTTTCAAAGTGGATTCGCTCGAAGTCAAAGGCTGGCTTGTAATCTTTGATGTGCTCATCCTGTGGTACCCACATATTGCCTTCAAGGAAGAGCCGCTCCAAATCCTTCTTCTTCTTCTCTGGGAACCGAAACTTTCCATGTAGATAGCATGCTGTAAGGCCCACCAGTCGTGGGCGTTTGTTGAGATCTCCCACCTTCTTCAAAATTTGTGCGAAAGGATGCTTCCCGATGGCGTGATGTGCCTCGTCAAAGACCAACAGCTTGCAGTCAGCATCTAACTGTAGGAATCCATGATCAACAATAGCCTGCCTTAAGACTTCGGCCGTTGTGACCAGAACCTGCTTCTTCCGTAGTTCCCGCCACCTTTCAGGGGTGCGCTCCGTCATCGTCTCCCCCGTTAACTCAACCACCCGAAGGTCCGCAATGACCGACTTGGAGCGAATCTCTGCAGCTTGTTGTTGGACCAAGGCCACTGTGTTGACGATGAAACATGTGAAAGCTCCTGGAATGGGTTCCTTGAGTTCCTTTCCATCTTCTAGACGGAGAAAGCGATCGATCAACATGATCGCCACTAAGGTCTTGCCGGTGCCTGTTGGTAAACAAATGATCCGATTCCTCTCACAGACTGCCTTGAAGGCTTCGAACTGGTAGTCACGAGCTCCGTAACTTGTGGTTGCGGATGCATTTTCAGATCTCTCGTCTTCAGGCTGGGCATCTGGGGCTTCCTCAGCCTCGATCAGATTGGAGCTTCTAGCAACTTCCCACGTGTCCGCAGATGTGATGTCCGAAACAGGTCCCTCACACCTGGGACAAATTATCTCGGACTTGGATTGCCTTTTCCCATCCCAACATCCCTTGCAAATTCGTTGGTCACACATCTTTCCTGAGATGAACAGCACTCAGCTAAAAAGAGTGATTCCAGTGATCAAAGCTGTCACAATGCAAAACGAACTCAAAAGAACAACAGAATGCTCCTGCACGTGTCTGAACATGTCTGAACCACTCACACTCAGGACCTTACCACATTGCATGATCCATCGCGGAAGGTCATCAAAGTAGTCCTCTACTTGCTGCAATTTCTTGTGGCACAAGCAGCACTCGTGATCCCCTTCTTGGCAATAGACCTGGAGACGAGATATGAAAAGCAACGGCAACGTAGAGGATGGGTGCTGACGCACACTCACACACACACACACACGTCGAATACATAAACTCAATCTGGCCAAGCTCTCCCCAACGAGATGGACATGTGACATAGGGATCGAAATGGTTCGTCTGTGGTGTTGGTATTGAATTGGGGTCGTGCCAGTTAGGAATCCAAGACCACTTGTTACACTGTGTCACATCCACACATGAAGGCAGGAGTGCCTGGATGTTCAAATCTAGATCCTCTTGGAGCTCCTGCGTCGTCCAAAATTCTCCACAGCAGGCAATGTTTGCATATGTCTCGAGCATTTTGCCAAGGCAAGTCAGGCATGTCATTGAATAAAGATGCCTATCCTGCTTGCTCAGTTTATTGGTGATTTTCTGCCTGTGTCCAGTCTGAGGCTCTGATTGGCAGTTTTCGGTAAGCTCCTCAGAGTGCCCAGTCGCTTCCAGTAGGCCAAGCCCAGGGTTGCTGAGGATCTTCGAGCCGTAGCTCAAGACCGTTTGTATTGGCTCGTCAGGCTTCTCCTGGCTGCTGTGCTTTCAAGTCGCAAACCTCAAACTATCCAATTCCATACAGCAGGCTAGGATACAGCAACTCGGTCTCCCCAAAGCAATTCACTACGTGGGACTCCCTTTCTGGCAGTGCACTTTCACAAGGGACGGTTTAGCTTCATGAGCTTCTGATTGCATATTTTCTCTTCGTGGGGCCTTTGAAGCCGCATCTACGAATGCTCTTGCTTTCTTCTTCACGTCCGCCACCTGCAAATGGTCTCTCTCACATCAAACATCAAAGACCGTATATGCTTCCCTCTGGTTCCCTGTGAGTCACTCATGCAAAATCATGGATCTCACGATGTCTGTGTCAATGACTCCTCGTATCTGACCGTTCGATCCCAATTTTTTTAAACCAAGGTCTCTGTGTCAAGGTTGGAGACCGCCTGATATAGAAATTCTTAAAGATCCAAAGCTGGTGTCAGGAAAGCCCGGTGAACCCACCCTTTTTTTCCCAGAGGTGGTTTTGCACTCCAAGCGCAACGCAGGTGCCTTCACATCCGGCGTTGTGGCGAACCAAGACCCTTCCTCACCTTTCAAGGTTTGGAGGATCACTCGAATTCGAGGCATGGCTACGGAGCAGCTGAAACGGCTGCAAGATGTTGACGTGTGAGTGCGATAAACGTGCCTTCCGGGGGTTTAGAGTTCAACATTTGAACATGCTCCAGATACGCCCAAACACTCTCACATCCAATTTTCTGCTGGAGTTGCCCAAGATTCCAGCATCCAAGCAAGCCACTCCACGGCTCAAAGAACTGCGGTCACCAGGGTCTGTCCCTCAATGTGCCAAGCCCATCATATTTTCATCAAATAGAACGCCAATTGCTGTGGCGGTGCTGGGAGGTTTTGAGGACTTGGCCTTGAATTGGTGAAAAGGAAGAGCTCTGGCCACTGCGTCCTCCATGAGCAAGTGGTCCCAGTCAACCAAATCATCGAAACTGCGTGTCATCACACCATGACAGGTGAAGTGTGAAATTCTGGAACCCAGCAACTACCTTCCATGTTCCGTCGGTCTGCCGGCCAGTCCTGTGCACCCGCGGGCGCCATCGCGGCCCCGCATCACATGGCGCCCCGTCGGTTTCGGAGCTTTAGACGTATGCACCGCCGTGCATCCAACCTTTGAGCAATGATATCCTTCGGCATCGATCCAGAAATTCAGCACTATGAACATATCGAAGATGGCCTCCTACACAAGAGACAGTAGATCTATGATAGTTGAAAAACCGCACCACAACTCTCCAAGCAAACCTTCAAATCGTTTCAACAAAATCCCCTTTTTCGATCTCAAGCATTTCGATGTCGAAGTAGGTCCAGGGCCTTGATGCAGACACGCTCCGTCCAGCGCTCTGATCCGCAAACGAAGAACAAACCCGAGTCCTGGGGCCCCAGCATGTCGAGCCGTGCCTGTTGAAGAGCAAGGGCACTGATTCCCGAAAACCAAAGCCTCATACGACGTGGAGGCAGGACGACGTCGTGGTATGGTCATTATAGGTCATTGGTTGGAGGCCATCGCTCTTAGGTTGGAGGCCATTGCTATCATCTCTGCGGATGTCTGCAAACAAAGCGATCACATGATGTGTGAATATAATCATACTATCTTTTGTTAACCACCCAATTACAAGACGCGAAGGCTCAGAGATCTGCGAGAACCGCTCCAATCGCGGCTGCTTTACACTTCCCAGAGTCTGGAAGCAATCGTCCTGCAACGAGTGGCCGTCAAATAGACTCAACGAGCAAGTAGCGTGGTGGCCAAGTTCGCACCTGGGCTCACCGGAACTATGTCAGTTGCAACTGCAAGGGTGTCCAGAATAAAGGACAGCTTTGGTGAACTTCAAGTCAGTCCGTGATTCCGCTGCCACCCAAGCGCAAGCGTCGAAGCTCACCTCAACCCAGTGACAGGGTGAGATTCAATGACCTTCCATATGCCACTGTGGCACGTCAGGCGTTATATACATCGAAAGAACTTTTTGATCTTTTGTCAATTTTCATCTTTAACTGTTTTCAATTTCTAATGGCAATGGCCTCCAACCAAATTACATCGAATTACTAGCGACGGCCTACTCCTACTCCAAGCAACTTCAAACACCCTCTGGAAAACGGGGAGTTTCTCATCACCGCACACCATCGCCGCTCGCTACACCCGCTGCTCGCTGCTGACAAGCGTCGACACCTCAGAGCGAAGGCCACGCCATCGTTGCTCAGGTGGAAGGAGGCCACCGTCAGGTCCTCGCAGGAACTGCGTCAGGTTCTCAACTGGGTGAAGCTGACAGCTAAGGCGGTGCCGCAGCTTTGCAAAGGCCAAAAACGAGGGCCCTTTAGAAGGAAGGGGTAGTTGAGACAACGACCGACAGAATAGATAACAATTATAGTATCACATAGTACAAGTATAATGGGGAGCCATCATTCCAGGTTCAGGTTTCCTCAAATGAGAAAGCATCGCCAGCTGACGCATCATTCCTCATATTAACCTTCACTGATGCCTCCAGGAAAAGGCAAAAGCGCACGAGCATCTCGAGGCCCGTGTCATCAATCTGGCCTTGGAGATGTAATCTAGATCATCGACTGAGCTTCAAGAACGCTAGTTGTAAAGCCTTCAATAACACTAGTCCTTTTACTATCCCGGATTCCGGATTACTGCAATAGCTCGACTCCAGGCTGAGACGGGGGCACTCAGCCCCCACTCCTTTCTGCATGAGCTTGTGCGGGCCCAGCCACAAGTACCGGAGACACCTGGAGACACAACCCGAGCAAGAAATTTAGAGCTCGGCGGGACATACATCAAAAGGCAACGATTCGAACAACATACGTTCGTTCCACCCAAAACACGCCCATTTCGCTGCATGCACATGTTATGTTCTAAACCCATCTCTTGTGTTATTTTCACACATCGCCACTAGAAAACAGAAAGCTTAAGGCCGCCCCGACCACCCGATAGTCCTCCAACCATTGCACTGCTCTGGTGTGAGAGCTGCATTGCCCAAAGGAGCGAAGAGGGACATTGACCTGAAGTGGAAGCCACACCTTCACGACCTAACAATGCACAAACGGACATGAACAGGAAATGTTCAGCCGAACATTGCCCAACTAAGCCGTTTGCTTGATGTGTGACCCGCTTCCGAACATCACCTGGCCAACCAATGCTGCATGCCCCCTAACTATATGTGCTGAACAGGCAAGCCCGCTTCGCGCGGGTCTCGATCTGAGAACATCGCCCCCTTTCGCTGACCGCCTCAACCTCTGATGTCCAGGTTTCGGACATTTGAGATTTGGTCATGTTCCCTTTCGGACATCGGGTGAAACCTCACTTCACAGGTCTTCCGAAGTGCGGAGCTGGTGGAGTTGGTCTTCCTTTCAGCTCTGGAGCGGGCATGAAGGGTGAGTGCCGGCACACGGGGCAGCGCGGACACTTCTGCAGCCACTGCGACCTCAAGGGCTCAGGGCTCATCTGGAGTCATCTGGGTGTAGTTATGAATGTAACCCGCTTGCATCCATGAAATCTTCGTGGAAGTTAACTGCCACAAACTGCCAGCAAAATCCCATGACGTGAAGAACCTGATTAGTTAACCCTCGGCTCTATGGTCCAACTTTTGAGAGCTAAACGATCTATGTAAATGGTTTTATCCTTTCCTCCAAACAGGTATAGAGTTGGTTAATAAGTTTGCGAAACCCGTCAGTCAGTACTAAGTTTGCCTCTTTCAAATCTTTCAAGCCCTCTCAGGTCCCGACGCACAGGCTGAATGGAACCTATGGCCACATGGAAGCGGAATGACCCCATCGTCAAGCCTTGAAGGCAGCAGTTCCAAACAAATGGCGCATTCGCTCAAACTCCGGAGCGGACCTAGTGAACTTGGACTGGTGGGACCTGGACTGGGTGGGTCACTCCCCAAGCACACAGCTGTTCCAGTGAGTCCAGCTCTTAAGACCTCCAACTGTCTCTTCCAATCTCCTTCTGAAGCGCTGGCCGCCA